GCTGTAACTGCAGCGCCTCTCTAGCAGACTCTATATTCTGAGGGGAAAAAAATTTGTACCCGAGGGAGAGGAGGAAGGGCAAGAATTCTGCACTTGCCCAGTGGTGCAGAATTCCCTCAAAAGTAAACTTGCTAAGAAGTTTGTACAAATCACCAACATGGAGATGAGTACTTGAAGTACTTACTCAGAGTTGTTGGATATCGCACTCCTTTTAGAAAGTTCAAACAGAAAACTCAAGCTTCTGTTATGCAGGAATACATCACTGTGTATTTAACAAGTTCAGTATCAGTATGCATTTTATGAGGGGAGGATGAACCCTAAGGTGTTCATCTATCATTATAGATATAACAAAGTTAAAAAGGTCCCTACAGATTCATTAAGAAAAGATTTTAAATCAGTTAGTGTTTGCATATGTTTAGACTCCAGGATGAAAGCATTAGTATAAAAGTAGGCTCAAATGAAAATTCATGCTTATTTACCCATGCTGAATTTTGTATCAGAGATTTAGTACTGTATTAAACACTTCATTGACTCTGTATCATAGCCATGTCAAGCTGTACTAATCGAACAAAATACAGTATTCTTCTACTGCAATATGAAAAAAATAAAACCAGACAATGCTGACTCAGAACAGATTAAAAATCTAAAAAACCAAAATTTTGTAACCCCCATATCATCTTAGTGCTGGTAAAAATTATCAAAATCCTTCCGATTCAATATCTCTAATCCCAGCAAGAGAGTATAGATGTCATCTAATACGTCAATGAATCAACATTTGCAGTTACTTCTCCAGGATGCTGACACATGCCACCCCAGGGCACAGTCTAAAAGAAGTTACTGCAAACTTTAATACACTGCCATATTAAGCAGCATCTGTGTTCTCTAGTTGATTTATTAGGTTCTCCTAAAGTTTATTATGTTTAAAAGAAATTTTAAAAAATCAAGCTGTATTTAAATATGACGAAGCTGCAATAGAAACCAACAATATCTAGGCAATTCATTGCCACTATGTCTGTCCTCCTCAATTCATACTGCTCAACCATGGATCTATTTCAACGGCAGAAATTGAAAAAATTGAACATTAACTTTTCCCAGTACTGCTTCTTAAAGTTGTTTGACTTTTTGATGTTTTGTATTATGGACATAACATAAGTTCAATGGTGGGAATTTCAAAAGCACTCAGAACTGGACTTGGAGTCTTTGGTAATTGATGGTATTTGACTGCAGCGGGATCAGAGTTAGGCCAACACTGAGTATTTTTGAAAATGCTCACCCCAACTTATTTTTGTTTAAGTATTAAGTTGTATTATTAAACCAAAAAGTATTTCCAGGCCTCTAAAGACAGCATTCCATTGGAATCATTTAGGGAAGTAACCTTTGGTGCTGAAAAGTGTTTTGAAAGCAGATATTTGTTGAGCTGTGCCATTGACTTTCATGAGAAAGCTTTCTTGCAGCACCAAGGGTCAGCAGTGTTCTCTGTCTGGTTCTGTTTCTATAATCAGCGGCTTTTTTAAAAAACGAAGCTAGGTGGTTACGCTTGCACTCTACCTTTCCCACTTTACCCAGGTTGTGACTGGAAACCACATTAAGATATAATGGGGTGGGGGGAACAAAGCCATGACCCCAAACAGTTTGAAGCATTTTCTTACTGCCAGCATCAAAGTTGGTTATTGGAATGTGAGAACGCTGCAAACCCCAAAGATGCCACAGATCATTAAGGAGATGGACAACTGTCGCCTTAAAATTCTAGCCCTCTGAGAGCAGACTGAGGTGTGGAAAAGAAGCACTTCAAGCAAGAGAAGGAACATTTCATTTATTCAGGTAGTAGTAACAAAACACTCAGATTCTGTGGAAAAGTCTATTATCACCCCGACAGCAATCAGCCAATGCATCATATATGCCAGATTCCAAACCCGATTCCTAAAGATATCAGTCATGCAGTGCTGTGCTCCAGCTGAGGGATATAGCAATGGGGATGAGGAGGAGTTCTACAATTGTTTCCAAAGTGTGATTGACAGCATACCAAAACATGACTTATGCAGGGTCAGTCCCAGGATATTAGCAAGACAAGGCAGGTGAGATAACATCTTTTATTGGACCAACTTCTGTGGATGAGAGAGACAAACTTTCAAGCATACACAGAGCTCTTCTCCAGGATGCTCCCAGCAGAAGTGCTCTGGGGGATCCCGCTGGGAACAACAAGATTGCACTCCATGGCTGGGGTGACATGGCTGGGGTGACTATCCTACTAAAAGGAGAGGAGAGGACTGTACGGAGAGCCGGAATACACTAAACCTGGAGTTGCATGTAATGTCTGGACTATGCTGGGGGACATCGGGACTATGGTTGTGGGACCTTATGACCCTAAGTGCACCTCACTGCTAGAAAGCAAGGGGCTCCCTGGTATCTTTCAGTAATTCTCAGTTGACCTGACCAGCTCAGTTTGGCCCAACTCACTAGTTTAAGGTTCAGTCTTAGAAGCATATTTTACTTGTGTTTGTTTGTAACCCTCTCTATCTCAATTCCTTCTCCTCAGTGTCACTTAAACGTCTTCTCTTTATTGATACATTTCATCCTGTTTTATTACACAGCCATGTCGGTGCAGTGCTTCAAACTGAAGAGTGAATATCCTCAGTCACATTATCAGGCTTGTGCTGTGTACTGTCTCAATAAATGAGCAGCAAACTTGATAAGGTTTTGTGAATGCAACAGTGAGAGGGGCAGAGTGCCGCAGAGGAGACCGTATTGAGTAGACTCAGGTCTTGGAGGGGCTGTTGGTATCACCCGACAAGGAGTAACTTGTCCAGGCTGGTGGAAGCCAGGGTGAGGTCATTCTGCTGGAAGCAGGCTTTTTGGTTCCAGGGCTCTTAGCCAAAGCTGCATAGAACAGAAGCACCCAAGGTTACAGGGTAGGTGGTAACACAATCCCTTATTGGTCTTGGTGAATCTCCAAAGCGTCCTAGATTTGTAATGATATATGTGCCTGGGACTTTTTTAATAAATGAACCCCACAAGGGCTACATTTATACATGGGAAGATGCTCTGGACTAGTTCTGAGGAGTCTAGTGGAGGGAAACTGAGGCAGATACACCTCTCATGTTTCAGCCTGCAGCAGGAGGGCACTACAGGCAGGTGCGGCCCTATCACAGCCAACTTTAATGCTGAAGTACAATGGGACAACCAAGGAGTGGAAAAAGCACTGGGGAAACATGGGTTGGGAATCAACAACTAGAACAGTGAGAGACTCATTGAATTGTGTGTGTCGTTTGATCTAGTTCTCGTCAGCACCCTGTGTCCTCACAAAGACACATGTAAAGAAGCATGAATTTTCCAGATGGCAAAACGAAAAAAACAGATCAATCACATCTGCTTTAGTTCAATATTCAGGTCATCTGTCCAAGACATAAGGGTATAACAAGCAGCGGATGTCAGACGTGACCACAATCTTTGCATTACTAAACTGACATTAAAATTAAGATCAGTTTTCAGCAGAAAGTGATAAAATCAACAGCATAAAACTGAAATCAAGAGGACTAAAAGAAATTCCAACTTGAACTAAGAGACACTGTGATGGGGCAGAGCGGCCCCACACTGGCACCACAGGGGTTAACCCTTCCTTCCTAGCAGAGGAAGCCCCGCCCCGGAAGCTCTGCTGGGCATGGTCCAACTGGAGAACAGGTATAAAAGCCTGCAGAGTTGCTTCGTCTGGGCTGACCGCTGGAGGGGAAGGAGGCACACCACCAGCTCCTGAGGAGAGAGAGCCTGCACGGCAGGATCCGGAGGCCAGCCAAGCCGGGATGCAACCCGATACCCAGACGGAGGATGTCACAGAAGGGGAAAAGACCAGAGGACCCCCCGAAGCAGAGAACCTGGCATTTATGGTAGGAAGTGACCCAGGGGAATTTTAGAAGCAAACGGCATTAGAGCTTCACAGACACTCGGCGTGTTGCGGGCGGATCCCCACTGAGCTGGTGGCAAGGGGAGCTTGCCACTACCTGGGTCGGGACCCGGTGAAGAGGGCAGGTCCGAGTCCCCCACCAAACCCCTGCACCGCAGGAATCCTATGGACTCCGGCCCTAGGCCGCACTACCCCGCTTGTGAGGGGGATTGTGTAGACTCTGGCCATTACGCTGCACTGCTCCAATGTGGGGAGTGATTTATATGGACCCTGGCCATTGGGCCACACCGCCCTGATGTGTGGGGTGAGTTACCTGGATTCCAGCCACTAGACCACACTACCCCGCTTACGAGGGCGATTGTATAGACTCTGGCCACTAGGCTGCACTGCTCCAATGTGGGGAGTGATTTATACGGACCCTGGCCATTGGGCCACACTGCCCCGATACTTGGGGCAAGTTACATGGACTCCGGCCAATAGGCCGCACTACCTGCTGGCCAGGGGTGATTGTGTGGAAGGAGGCCATTAAGCTGCAATTGGCCACCCACAGAGAGACGGGCGTGGGAATTTGGGAGTGGTGAGGTTCCAACACCCCATCCCACCCCTGCCACAAAGGTGGGGGGGGGGTGCCAGACCCGCCACAGACAGATTTCAGGCACTGTCCAAGATAGAGGAAGAAAAAGACTGGATCTGAAGAAAAATGGGCAGCACTCAGAGAATGTGAATTAGGCTGCAGAAGTCATAGTTGGATATCCGTATAGACAGAGCAAGAACTGGATAAGCTAACAGCCATGGCATCTCATTAAGGAAAAAAAGTACTGAAATGAAAACACCGGTACGTTAAGACCAACAAAATATTGGAAAAAGCAAAGGAGAAGTATAAGAAAGCCACGAAAAGCAACACAAGGAAAGAAACAGATAAACTGAAGACCTAGCAGCTTAGAAGCAACAAGCTGCTGCTGTGATAGGAAACCACAGAGCTATTTACCAAGTGACTACAGCAACGTGTGGAAATTTCAAAACCAGGAAATGGGCCAATAAAACACAAAGATAGAAAAATGCTACAACTGAGGTAAACCAGAAACGAGCTGGGCAGCCAGAGAGCAGCGGCTGCTGGCCAGGAGCCCAACTGTGAAGGCAGCACTGCTGCCAACAGCAGCGGAGAAGGAAGGGTGCCATGGTATGGTATTGCCCCCCTTACTGCTACGCTGCTGCCTCCAGAGCTGGGCCCCCAGCCAGCAGCCGCAGAGCTTCCGGCAGCTGGGGGAGGGTCCCAGAAGCGGATCTGACCTGCCCCTGGGAGCAGCCTGTGCAGAGGAAGAGGAAGCCCTCTCCACCTCCACACCCTAGATCAGCTGGGACTAGCAGCTGGAGCCCAGCGCAAGGTAGGAGCCCCTGGGTGTGGTGCCCGCCGCTCTGACGCTCCCCATCTCTGGGCCCAGAGCTCAGGGTTTAAAAGGGCCTTGGGCTGGCTCTGTGTGTGTGTAGGGCGGGGGGGGGGGGGTGACCATGGCACCCCCTTGACCACAGCAAACTAAGCGGTCGCCCACATTGCCCACCTGTAAGGCCAGCCCTACCCCTCCAAAAAGTGACACCCGCACACCATGCCACCCACACTTCTGCGCTGCTGCCTTCAGAGCCGGGTGCTCCACCAGCAGCTGCCACTCTCTGGCCGCCCCGCTCTGAAGGCAGTGCAGAAATAAGGGTAGTAATAGCACAACTCCCCCACAACAATAGCCAGATTTCATGGGGAAGACCAGATTTCATGGTCTGTGACTCCTTTTTCATGGCTATGAATTTGGTAGGGCCCTACAAATAACCTGAGAATTGAAATGGAGGCCCAGAGAGGTGAAGTCACTCACCAAGATCACACAGCAGGTCAAGGGTAGAGCTGGGAACAAAATCTGGGTTTCAAGCATCCCAGTCCCATGCCCTGTCTACTGGAACATGATTGGAACCATAGAAGAACAGCACACTGCACCTAGAGTGTCTACGCATGCTATAATTCAGATGTAATAATAAGTTTCCTGAGCCTGTGCATCTCACCTCTAAAATGTTATTGATCTAATTACATCCGATAAAGAAACAGAGATGCTGTGCCATTGAAGAAGAAAGTTAAAATTACCATTTCAAGAGTATAAATGTCCTGGATTGTTTCTTGATCTGTGAAAGGTCCATTCAGAAAGAAGGAAATAAAATCCAAAAGGCCATCACAATGCACTGCATTGATGTATTTCATAAAACTCACTAGACATTGGAAAATCAGATACTTCATTTTATCACAAAGACTGTAAACAAACAATAAAATACTGTAATGGAAATGTTGCATGCCTCACTCTAGTTTTGTTTCTATAGCATTTCTGTCATGAACCCTTATTTTAGGGGTTGGCTTAAAAGCTTCACAAGGGGAATGAAGAAACTACAACTGGGATTCAGCCATAGAGTACAAGTGTTGAGAAAATTCTATATACATCTATTGGCAAATTTATGAAAGCACAATAAAGACACAGATTGTTCCTTTTGCTGTTGATTCCATGTGATATCTGAATATCAGTGTGTGTATATTATTTACACACACACAAACACTTTATATTGTATAGTCAAACAAATCAATAGGAGCTGCACCCAGCTCAACACCACCTCAAAAAAAGCCAATTAGTCAGCTTCCTAAACCTGGAGTTAGTGGCCAAATTTTAGACATTAGAGTTTGAATATTTTGACTTTTTGCCTTTATGCTACAAAGGTATTAAAGGTCTGAGTTTAAGAGGTGCTGAAGATATATAATTCCAACTGCATTCTAGGCTAGAGACCTGTCAGGAAATGCAATTTCCATTTCATGGGAAATTCCATGTTTTTGAAATTTCCTTTCATTCTGATCTGAAAAGAAAGCAAAGAATTTTGAAATTTGCCACTAAATGAAATTTTCAAAAAAGTATTTTGGGTCAATGATATGTTCTATATTGAGATACAGTTATGACTTTAATTTTTTATTATATAAAATTTCAAAACAAGTGATTTTGAAATAACTCAAAACATTGTTTTCTAAGAATGTCAAAACAGAACATTTCTACCTTATCAAAATGTTTTTTTAAAAAAAAATTTTTTTAATTTTTATTGTATTGTATTGATTCCTCTTCTCCCCCCCCCCCCAAAAAAAAATTGAGAGAAGACAGAAGAAAAACAGAACAAAAAAGCATAAGGATTGGAAGGGAAGGAAGAAAGTAGGACAGGGCAGAGAAAGGTGAATACATCTCAGATTCCAACCTCTAGGAATTAATCAAAGGTCTCTAAAAAGTTAGATCAAATCTTTTCAAGTTGCCTGAGGTCACTTTTCTCTGATACATTACTTGCGCTTTCGTTGCCATGTCAGCCAAGTTGCTGAGCCAAGGAGGCATTAGCCAAGACTGGAGGCAGTCTGATCTTCCCTATAAGCAATATGAGTCATTTGACTATAAGCACTGCTCTCAAGAACCAAGTATTCCATAAGCTGGAGAGTTTCCAAGGTGATAGGATCTCTCTCAAAACATACTTCTGGAAAGTAATTTTTAAAGGACCTTTCTTTTAATATTAATCATATATTAATTATCTTTTTTATTAATCATATATTAATTATCTTTTTCATATTAATCCGATGACCTACTTTGTGTTGAAATTGACACGTTCCCACAAAGTTTCAGTTTTGACAAAACAGTATTTTCCAACAAGAAAACTCTGTCACAAAAATGTAGATCACCTCTAGTCAATAGCTGGTTTCTTAATTTAATTCAAGACTTGTATTGTAACCTGCCTGGAGCATGGATGCATCATTTTTAGATGTCTACAAGGCATCATGCGTACCTTTGGTGCTGTTAATAAATAATGAATGAAAATCATGAACTTTAATATAAGAAAGATGTATCCTGAATGCTCATATGCCCAAATTCCATGCAACCATACATTTTAAAGGTTTGGGATAAAAAATTGTTGTAGTCAGTGGAAAGACTCCTACTGATATCATTGATCTTTGTATCAGGCTCAGTAAGAGGCCACAACAATTAGGAAAAGGGAACAACATTTCCTTGTTCACCCAAGCGTTTCAAAAAAGGTTCTTCAGACAAATTAATGAAAAACAGACATACCAAGCCAATGTTTTAGCAAACCCAAGCTAGCAGCTAGAAGGCTGTTACATGTTTGTTTATGTTATACTTTGGTACAGCCAAGGTGACTGTCATACAATGACATGCTCAGAGCTGTGAGTAGATACTAAAACCCCTACAATAATTTGATATATTATGTTAACTAAAATCCTTTTTGTGTATAAACTAAAGTATGGTTTATCTATCATACTAATGTGCTTTGTTTTAAAATGAGCGAGAGTGTGACCAAATGAAGGAATGTGTTAACCTTTACTCCCTTAACCTAGTCCGGAGGTTGAGAAATAGATGGCGGAAACTAATAAGGGATGTCTACAGAAATGTTATAATACCCAAGACTGGGTAATTGACAAGGATTGCTCATCGTTCAATTATGCTCTATGATTGATAAGAGGCATTTGTTATTACAGATGTTTTCTGTAATGAATGAAATAATGACCCAGAGAAAGATGTTTTAACTCATCAGGAAGTGCTTGTTGCAACAGGTGTTAATAATAACAGCTGGATTAGAAATCCCTTTAGTTTATCAAGCAACAGACACCATAAAAGGAATTCCATTAATAATGAGGTACACTGAGATATTGAAAACCGAACAAATGATGGGATCAGTTGTGGGAAAGTGACTTTCCCTCTCCACAAAGGATTTTTTTTTTGTCTCAAACCCTGTAAAAGGACAGAGGTTTGAGGAGTTAGATTGGGAATGAACACAACCAGCATTCCAGAGTGAGGAAGCGGGGTGCCTCCTCTTTACCACTCACAAAGGGTGGTAAAGTATCATTTATTTCTGCATAATGCTGTATTAATCTTTGAGTAATAATCTTTGAATCAATCATTCCATTTGAGACAGTTATTTTGACACCTCACAGTGGTATTAAATTCCACCGGACCACAAAGTGCCCTGGAGCATTTTCCTGAAAAAGGGTTATGATGTGATGTTCTGTGCCCGGTTGCCCTCAAAGAGTTAATGCAGAGGGAGCAGGGAGCGATTAACCCAACAGGCCACAGCTGAAGGGAATCAGGCGGCCAAGGAATCCCCTGACTGAGTGAGGGCATCCAGCTGAGGAGGCATGAGCTGGGTTGGGGGGCTATTCCCATTTTACAGATGGAGAACTGGAGCACAGGAAAACTAAGTGATTTGCCTAAGGTCACACAAGACAACTGTGGCTGAGACAGGAAATGAATCCAGACCTCCTGCATCCCAGCTCACTACACAAACCACAAGGCAGTCCTTAAATTTCTGGCCTCTCTAGTTCCTTAACTTGAACAGGCAGGGATAGGATCAGGGTTATTTGTTTTACTACACTGTACTAAGAGAGCTATTATTGACTCCTAAAATTCCTTAACATGGAAATTCAATGTGTAAGAATGATTATTTTTAAACTGTTACTAATGACAAACAATGTTGTTAATTTGAGCTATGCAAAATACTCAGTGGAAAAGTAAAAAACTCTCAAAACTTGTCCTTCAATCTACTTAATCCAAAATGGGCATACACCTGAGTGTTCCCATCTGGTGTGCTGAGGTATGAGCCAAAGTCTGGGAAAATGGATGTACTGTAGAAGTTGAGGGGTTACTGCCTCCAAATAGAAGCACAGTGGTTTGCAGAGTAAACTTTGTAAGTGGTTGGCATACTAATCTGTAGCACAAAAGAAGAGGTTGTACAATAGCTTTCGATTCCGGATGTTTTATTGCTTGAATTAGTTGTGGATCAAGTAAATTATTCAACACTTCGTCTTCATGAATATGACATTCAAAGGACATAGTGCCCTGAAGTTAGGCTTGTACATGACCCATTGTGAACAATTAATGGAAAACCTTACAAGACCTTCGACATAAATGTCTGCTGACTTATCATGAGCAGTGTGGCAGGCAGTTCTTTAATATGGTAATATAGGCAGCAACACCAGCAAAAGTGTCAATATTAACCTTCTTAATAAAACCTTCCCTCCCCAATTTGAAATAAAAAGGTATTTTCCAACTTACCAGGACTACAGACTATTAAGCAACTGTTCTAGAACATTTCACTCACAAAGGAAAGGGGGAAATTGTCATGACAGTATCTAAGTACCTTCAAGAAGGGCATTAAGCAATGTGACTAAGCCCTGGTCTACACTAGGAGTTGAGGTCAAATTTAGCAGCGTTAAATGGATTTAACCCTGCACCCGTCCACACGACGAAGCCCTTTTTTCGACTTAAAGGGCTCTTAAAATCAATTTCCTTACTCCACCCCCGACAAGGGGATTAGAGCTGAAATCGGCCTTGCTGGGTCGAATTTGGGGTACTGTGGACACAATTAGACAGTATTGGCCTCCGGGAGCTATCCCAGAGAGCTCCATTGTGACTGCTCTGGACAGCACTCTCAACTCAGATGCACTGGCCAGGTAGACACGAAAAGGCCCGCGAACTTTTGAATTTCAATTTCCTGTTTGGCCAGCATGGCAAGCTGCAGGTGACCATGATGGAGTCCCAGAATCGCAAAAGAGCTCCAGCATGGACCGAACGGGAGGTACGGGATCTGATCGCTGTATGGGGAGAGGAATCCATGCTATCAGAACTCCGTTCCAGTTTTCAAAATGCCAAAACATTTGTCAAAATCTCCCAGGGCATGAAGGACAGAGGCCATAACAGGGACCCAAAGCAGTGCTGTGTGAAACTTAAGGAGCTAAGGCAAGCCTACCAGAAAACCAGAGAGGCCAACGGCTGCTCCGGGTCACAGCCCAAAACATGCCGCTTCTATGATGAGCTGCATGCCATTATAGGGGGTTCAGCCACCACTACCCCAGCCGTGTTGTTTGACTCCTTCAATGGAGACGGAGGCAACATGGAAGCAGGTTTTGGGGATGAGGAAGATGATGAGGTTGTAGATAGCTCACAGCAAGCAAGTGGAGAAACCAGTTTTCCCGACAGCCAGGAACTGTTTCTCACCCTGGACCTGGAGCCAGTGCCCCCTGAACCACCCAAGGCTGCCTCCCGGACCCGCCAGGCAGAGAAGGGACCTCTGCTGAGTGTACCTTTTAAAATACTATACATGGTTTAAAAGCAAGCATGTTTAATGATTAATTTGCCCTGGCATTCGCGGTTCTCCTGGATGTACTCCCAAAGCCTTTGCAAAAGGTTTCTGGGGAGGGCAGCCTTATTCCATCCACCATAGGAGGACACTTTACCACTCCAGGCCAGTAGCACGTACTTGGGAATCACTGTAGAACAAAGCATTGCAGTGTATGTTTGCTGGCGTTCAAACAACATCCGTTCTTTATCTCTCTGTGTTATCCTCAGGAGAGTAATAACATTCATGGTTACCTGGTTGAAATAGGGTGCTTTTCTTAAGGGGACATTCAGAGGTGCCCATTCCTGCTGGGCTGTTTGCCTGTGGCTGAACAGAAATGTTCCCCGCTGTTAGCCACGGGGAGGGGGGAGGGGGTAGCCATGCGCTGGGGGGAGGCAAAATGTGACCTTGTAACGAAAGCACAAGTGCTGTGTATGTAATGTTAACAGCAAGGTTTACCGTGAAAGAGTGTACCCATTGTTCTATAAAATGTGTCTTTTTAAATACCACTGTCCCTTTTTTTTCCTCACCAGCTGCATGTGTTTCAAGGATCACAGGATCTTCTCCTTCCCAGAGGCTAGTGAAGACTAAAAGGCAAAAAAAACGCACTCGCAATGAAATGTTCTCTGAGCTCATGCTGGCCTTCCACACTGACAGAGCACAGACAAATGCGCTGAGGCAGACAATGTCAGAGTGCAGGAAAGCACAAAATGACTGGGAGGAGAGGTGGCGGGCTGAAGAGAGTAAGTGGTGGGCTGAAGAGAGGGCTGAAGCTGAAAGGTGGCGGCAGCATGATGAGAGGAGGCAGGATTCAATGCTGAGGCTGCTGGAGGATCAAACTAATATGCTCCAGCATATGGTTGAGCTGCAGGAAAGGCAGCAGGAGCGCAGACCGCCGCTACAGCCCCTGTGTAACCAACTGCCCTCCTCCCCAAGTTCCATAGCCTCCTCACCCAGACGCCCAAGAACGCAGTGGGGGGGACTTCGGCCAACCACCACTCCACCACAGAGGATTGCCTAAGCAACAGAAGGCTGGCATTCAATAAGTTTTAAAGTTTTAAACTTTTAAAGTGATGTGTGGCCTTGTCCTTCCCACCTCCACCACCCCTCCTGGTGCTTCTCTCCTCCACCGCCCCTCCTGGGCTACCTTGGCAGTTATCCCCCTATTTGTGTGATGAATGAATAAAGAATGCATGAATGTGAAGCAACAATGACTTTATTGCCTCTGCAAGCAGTGTTCGAAGGGAGGAGGGAAGGGTGGTTAGCTTACAGGGAAGTAGAGTGAACCAAGGGGCGGGGGGTTTCATCAAGGAGAAACAAACAGAACTTTCACACCGTAGCCTGGCCAGTCATGAAACTGGTTTTCAAAGCTTCTCTGATGCGTACCGCGCCCTCCTGTGCTCTTCTAACCGCTCTGGTGTCTGGCTGTGCGTAACCGGCAGTCAGGCGATTTGCCTCAACCTCCCACCCCACCATAAACGTCTCCCCCTTACTCTCACAGATATTGTGGCGCGCACAGCAAACAGTAATAACAGTGGGAATATTGGTTTCGCTGAGGTCTAAGAGAGTCAGTAAACTGCGCCAGCGCGCCTTTAAACGTCCAAATGCACATTCTACCACCATTCTGCACTTGCTCAGCCTGTAGTTGAACAGCTCCTGATTACTATGCAGGCTGCCTGTGTACGGCTTCATAAGCCATGGCATTAAGGGGTAGGCTGGTACCCAAGGATATCTATAGGCATTTCAATATCCCCAACAGTTATTTTCTGGTCTGGGAATAAAGTCCCTTCCTGCAGCTTTTGAAACAGACCAGAGTTCTCCTGAAGATGCGAGCGTCATGTACCTTCCCGGACATCCCACATTGTCTGGAGTTGCAAGCTTCCATAGGGCTATTGCTTCTCGCTTCTCAACTGTGAGGGCTGCTCTCATCTTGGTATTCTTGCGCCTCAGGGCAGGGGAAAGCAAGTCACAAAGTTCCATGAAAGTGCCATTATGCATGCAAAAGTTTCACAGCCACTGGGAATCGTCCCAGACATGCAACACTATGCGGTCCCACCAGTCTGTGCATGTTTCCCAAGCCCAGAATCGGCGTTCCACCGCATGAACCTGCCCAATGAGCACCATGATGCCCACATTGCCAGGGCCCGTGCTTTGAGAGAAGACTGTGTCCATGTCCTCATCACTCTCGTCACCGCGCTGACGTCACCTACTCTCCCGGTTTAGCTTTGCCAGGTTCTGGTGCTGCATATACTGCTGGATAACGCGTGTGGTGTTTAATGTGCTCCTAATTGCCAAAGTGATCTGAGCGGGCTCCATGCTTGCCGTGGTATGGCGTCTGCACAGAAAAAAGGCGCGGAACGATTGTCTGCCGTTGCCCTGACGGAGGGAGGGGTGACTGATGACATGGCTTACAGGGTTGACTTACAGGGAATTAAAATCAACAAAGGGCGTGACTTTATGAGAAACTGAATGGCCCCCTCAAGGATAGAACTCAAAACTGGGTTTAGCAGGCCGTTGATTTCACGGAGGGAGGGAAGAGAAAATAAATACAAAACAAATCTGGTCTATTTCTTGTTTTGACCCACTTCATCTATCTTTATACATCTTGCTGGCAGCAGACTGTGCAGTATGACTGCTAGCCATCGTCATCTCCTGGGTGCTCGGCAGAAGACGGTGCAGTATGAATACTGGCCATCATCTTCTGCTGGCTGCTGATTAAAAGACAGTGCACTGCCGGTAGGACTCAATCGCCATGAGACAAAACTTAAAAAGGAAATGACCTGGCTGAGTCACTCCCATGTTTGCCCAGGCGCCCCTGACCTCATTGAAGTCAGTTAAAAGAGCACCCAGGATTATGTCGACAACGGCTACCAGTCATACTGCACTGTCTGCTGCCGAAAGGCAATAGACTGCTGCTGTGTAGCAATGCAGTACCGCGTCGGCCAGCACCCAGGAGACATACGGTGACAGTTAGCTGAGCGGACTCCATGCTTGCCGTGGTATGGCGTCTGCACAGGTAACTCAAGAAAAAAGGTGCAAAACGATTGTCTGCCCTTGCTTTCACGGAAGGAGGGAGGGAAGGCTGGCCTGACGATATGTACCCAGAACCACCCGCGATAATGTTTTAGCCCCCTCAGGCACTGGGATTTCTACCCAGAATTCAAATGGGCGGCGGAGACTGCAGGAACTGTGGGATAGCTACAGAATAGGATAGCTCTGGAAGTTGACGGTTGCCTTGGTACTGTGGGCACAATCCGCTGACTACATGCACTTAGAGCATTTATGTGGGGACACACACAATCGACTGTATAAAAACGCTTTCTATAAAACCGACTTCTATAAATTCGACCTAATTTCATAGTGTAGACATACCCTAACTGTGACGTTTGCTCTTTCTCTCTCTCTCTCTCTCTCACACACACACACCCCATGCACTGTTTACATTAGAGAAGGGAATGTTAACAAAATGCACATTGCACTTGGAACAGAAGGTTGTGAGGTTTGTGGTGGTCCTTAGTTCCTGGGGGAGTTCATTTCAGTGTTGGATCAGCTTCAGAAAAAACTCTATCTCCTGCACAACCCTGTGTTACCCTTACTGTACTAAGCCCCACTGGGCAGGAGCAAAGCTGTTGACCATGGTGTTCACCCCAGAGCGTTCGGCCATCTTTTGAAAATGTGTGTCTGCTCTGCAGGTGACTAGAAAAAGATGTGCAGCTGTCAAATCACATAGCAATTACCAATTAAATAGATTTATTATGTTGCATGACTCAACCACGGGGAAAAAAGAAACACGAGAGCTGGTGACAAGAGAAATTTTTAATGTTCTCCTGGAAGGATAAAAAACAGTTTAATCAGCCCAGCCCTCGAGTGATTTATATTGGCAGTGAAATTCTATTTTACACTGCCTGTAGTCACAGTGCTAGACTCTGGGTAAACATTCAGGGACATGTCCTACATTAACTGCAATGCAATTAGATTTATGTATGCCCACTGCAGATCTGGTCACTCATTTAGGTGCTTCAGTGTGGATTTAGGGGTGAAAACTGGCCCTATTTGAGGCAATGGCAGTTTTGACATTGACTTCAGAGGGGTTAGAACTTCACCCTAGACTGCCTAACTGTTGGCACTCAAGTTTGAAAACAGTTTACCTTAGTTCTCATAGGTCATACAGAAGGAGTTAGTTTCTTCATTTTTAATTAAATTCATGCACTCAACACAGCTGTCTTGCCTGCCATAACGATCTGCAGAGAAAATGAAAATGAAAATAAGCTTCAAAATAAAACGTCCAGAGATCTCTCTCCCTTTATCTTCTGTCTTTCCTGACATCAATTGTACTATCAGCCTTTCCATTATTCTGTGATAATTTCTTTCATATGCTTTTGTCTCTTTCCACCTTGAAATAGTTGGAACCAAAAAGAAGTCTGATGCATCCTGTTGAGGGGTGGGATTCACCCCTGCAGTGCCTCCTGCTGGTTGTCCAGGGAATTAGCATTTCCAGCCTCCGGAGCGGCCTCTTCAGGCCGGTGTCCCACTTGCTCCTGGGCCCCGAGTCCCTCCTGGATCCCGGTGCCCCTTCCACACCGGAGTGCTGCCCCCTGGCAGTACCCCCCGAGATCTGGGCCCCCCCCCAGGAACCCCCACCCTTTATCCCCACCTCACCTCAGTCTTTGGCTACTGCCAGTCACCATCTAATCCCCGCTTCCTGGGGCGGACTGCAGTATAATTACCACTCATCATCGGCAAGGAGGGTCTGGACCTGCTGCTTCTGCCTACTCTTGGGCTTCCCTCTGCAACCCCAGTACCCTTTTCCTAGGCCTTCATCAAGGCCTGCAGCCTGGGGGTTTCTCAGGCTGGAGCTCCCCAGCTCCTCTGGCCTTTCCCCAGCACTGCTCCACTTTAGGTACCCTGCTCAGCTCCCAGCAGTCAGGCCCCCTCTCAACATCTAGAGAGAGAGTGTATCCTCCTGGCCCACTGCCCTCTTATAAAGGCCAGCTGGGCCCTGACTGGTGCGTGGCCGCAACTGTGGCTGTTTCCACAATCAGCCGAGGCTTGCTGCTTTCCCTAGCAGCAGCCCTCTCGCAGCCTCAGCCCTCCCCCAGAACTGACTTCAAGCCCTTCAGGGCAGGAGCGGGTGACCAACCCGCTACACCTCCTTCCAAGGAACATGGATTTGGCAGGTAAATTGTCTCCAGGCTGCCCTTAGAATTTTAAGCCAAACTATTTTCTTTCTTCTCTCTTGTTACCATGATACAGAATGGAGCAACAATGCAGCAATGCAGCTGAACAAATTAAAGAAACTTTCTTGGGATCGTCAATTTTCAATTAATATCTTTTCTCTGACCAGTTCTCAAACTCAATCAGCGATAGAGGCCAAAGTACATAATGGCAGTGTCTAGCATCTCTGCCTTAGGTTTTGGTTCGCTTATTCCCTCTTCAGTATGTCTGCAGGCTTGTTTCATGAAGATACCACCTTTCTAAAAGGACACAGACAAGCCATTGTCATCACAGTGGGGCTATCGTATCTAGCACTGTCCTCTTGCTGTTAGTAGATCCTGGATTAAATGTTAGTTATCAGCTGCCAGGAACAATTTTTTTTCCTTCTGCAGCTGTAAAAAGAGTCTGTCGTCCTGGAGTGCTTTGAGAAGGCTGAGGATTCTTTCTGCAGCCAGTCATTCTGAGGAACTGTAAGGAATTGACATCAGGGTGCACTAAGCCCTTTGTGGTTGTGGACTCCTTTATCTCTGCAGAGCCTTAAACCTGTTTACTCTCAGATTAGCACAGCAGCTCCTTACTGTGATTTTTCACTGTGATATTGCTCCGTCTGTTGTCTGAGGACAGATTAAAGTCAAGGCTCAATATTAATTTACAGCGTTTTTCTCCTTGGGTGACGGTAGCTTCCTCTTTCTTCAACTGGCAACTCAATAGCGAGGGTTCAGCTTGAAAAGCTTCTGAAAGTCAGTGCATTTTGACTAAGCACCCAAAAGTTTGGATATTTACTAAGGATTATCCATGTTATTCAAATACCTCAGTCTCCTTCACTTCACATCTTGAGACACCCCACCCCCCGCCCCGCTCTTCATACAACCCCCCTGCCTCTGCTTCCCTTTCTGCTGCCATGCTCTGCAGCTCAGGTAGGCATTTAGGGCTGCTACCCCCATCCAATCTAGATCCT